AGCTTGCCCACCTCGTCGAGCAGCACCACGGGGCGGTATGCGGACGGAGAGTCCGCAGGGCGCCCCGGCTTCTGAATGAGGACCAGCTTCCCCGTCTTCCAACGAAGCGGGAATTGGCCTCTCTCCAAGCATGCGCTTAGGAGCCCCTCCAGTCGGGGCCCGAGAGCCTCCGAGGCCAGGACCCAGGCTTTGCCAGGCAAGCCATCGGGTCTTGGGGCGGTATTCCTGGCCTTAAGCCTACGTACCGCCACTCTCAGGTCTACCCCGGTCCCTTCCGAGATGCCGTCGTCGTCGTCCTGGTGGTCCGCTTCCGGCACCGCAGGTAGCGGAGCCATAGGCGGGGGCGGGTGTTCCCCTCGCGCAGCAAACAGAGCGCTCACCACGTCCTCCACGAGCTGAGGCCGAAGACTCTGCGTCAGCGGGGGAGCCCAGGTGCGGAGTTTATCCCGCACCATCTTGTAAGGGCGCCCCCACGGATCTCTGTCGAGAGTCTCCAGCATCTCCTCACGGGCCCGATCCCGGGCCCGCATGACAGCCTCCCGGAGGGCGGTCTTCGCCGCTCTGTATCCCTCGTACAGCTCCGCCTCAATGGCTGCCGCATTCGGTGGACGAATGCGGAGCCTGCGATGCCTGGCGTACAGGTGCCGCGCGGCGACACACGCCTCGCGTAGAGACGTCAGCTCACGCGACCACCAATACACCTGGCGCCGGGCGCTTCCTGGCCGGACGCGGGGCATTGCCACGTCACATATCTCGGACATGGCCTCCTGGAACCACCCTGCCTCATCATTGACGTCGGCAGGCCTATCCGGTGATGACATCCAGGCCTGCACGATCGAGGCTTCCAGGAGGAGCTCCCGGTCCAGCTGCTTCAGCGCCCAACGCGGACCACTCGGGGCCTGTTGGACTGGCGCGCTCGAGGGCTGGGTGGAGACGTCAAACCGGATGTACCGGTGGTCGGAGTAGGTCTCCACCCCCTCCATGACTCGCCAGTCAATGGCACGCGGCGACAGAGCGGGGCTAGCGAACGAAATGTCCACCACCGACTCGCCCCGCATCCGCACACACGTGGGGACAGAACCCCGATTTAGGACGACCAGGCCTGTCTCCAGAGCCCAGTGTTCCACCATCCTACCCCGCACATCTGTACGACGAGAACCCCAAGCCAAGTTCTTGGCATTGAAGTCCCCGAGGACAAGCACGGGGAGGGGATAGCTTCCGACGACGACTGCTCTCAGCTCTGCAAGAGAGTTGTGGAGCTCGGCAAGAGATCGGTTCGGGGAGAAGTACACCCCCACAACGACGAACTCCCCGAACCATGACCCCTGACCCCTCCTGACACCTTCAAGGGTCGGGGTACCGGCGGCGGCCGAAGAAATGATGGCCACTGAGCCATTAAGGTCCGCCACCCAGTCCTTCCTAGGCCAGACAGAATACGGCTCAGCGACCACAGCGATGTTAATCGACCACTGCGCCATGCTCTGGAGCAACAGATCCTGAGCGCAGGCGCAGTGGTTGATATTCGCCTGGAGGAAGCTTAATGGGGCCGTTATAGGCATTCCATTTCAGCTTCCTCCACGGGGCGCCCCTCTGCAGGCGTCGGTGTCGCGGCGGCGGCGGCGGCGGCGGCGGCGGCGGCGGCGACAGTGACTGCGGCGGCGGCGGCAGTTGCAGCTGCGGCGGTGACCATAGAGGCGGTGGCGGCGGAGGAGGGCCCTCCCCTACCCGCGGCCTTGGCCTTGGCGGGTGACACGTAGGCCCTGCTCCCGGCCCAGTGATCGGCTGGCTTGCCGGTCGCCGCACATGCATCACAGTGCGGCGTGGCACAGCAGGTTGCCGATATGTGACCGGGCTGACAGCAGCGGAAGCAAAGGCCACTGCGGTCAACCTCCGAGGCGCATTTCGCTGATACGTGATGCCCCACGAGACAGCGGTAGCACCTCAGAGGTCTGGGCTCCAGCAGCTTAACCTGCGCTGAGACCCAGCCCACCAGAAGCCTTCGGCCCTCCACTATGGTTTTGGCCGCCGTAACAGGGCAGCACACCGTGGCGGCATGCATACCCTGTTGGTCCGGGCGTATGGCGCCTGACCTGACCTGGTCAGTAGTGCACCCTCCGGACCTGGCGACGGCGGCCACCAACTCCTCCTCCGATACCGAGTCGTCCAGACCCATGATGCGCAGGTCTGCGCATCTGACGGGCCTGGACACTCGGGCCTCGTCCTCGTTCAGGGACGCTCTGAGCTTCGCAGCCAGAGCGTCCGCAGTCGCGCCACTGGATTTCCCGGGGATCTCCAGCATACGGGCCCCCGTCTGGGTGACTTTGAGCCGGAGGCCCCCAGTGATTCCGTACTCCCCGAGATCCTCCGCCTCTTTCGCCTTCGCGAGCAGATCGCGGTAGGTAACGCCCTTCTTTTCCGCGTCCGGCTGTAATGTAATCACTACAGCTGCGGTCTTCGGGGCGCGGAGCCTAGCCGCGATCTTGCGCGCCCTGAACTGGCGCTGCCGCTCCTGCTCTTTGGCCTTTTTGGCTGCCTTCTTCCCCTTCTGTTTGTCCCCGACCACCTGCCAACCGGCTTCTGCCGCGGGAGGTGTAGGGAGCTGGGGGGGCGGTGGAGGCGGCGGCAGCTGGCTTGCCGCTGGCGCTGGCCCATTCGCCGCAGGCACTGGGGCTGGCGCAGCCATCACCTGTGCTGCCGTCTTGCCCTTTTTCGCCTTCGCCTTGCCTCTCTTTCCCGTCGCCGGCTTAGCCGGAGCCGGTTCAGCCGGTATCGATTTTGCCGGAGCCAGCTTTTCAGGGGGGGAGGGGCAACTGCAGCCCCACCCGAGGGCTGGCTGGACGGCCCCGGCCTGGATGTGGCCGCCGTGGCCGTCGCGTAGGAAACCGTTGCCGGCCTCGCCGCCGTCTTGTTTGCCCCTAGGGGGGGCGCAGGACGATGCCCTCCAGCACGGAGAACCGGTGCTGGAAGGCGGCCAGCTCCTGCCGGACCAGGTTCAGAACCTGGTTCTCCACCGGCACGGGCTGGCTTGGGCGCTGCGTCTGGGGCGCCGCGCGAGAGGCAGGCTCATGCAGACTGGCCAGGTCTGCGCGGAGCTTCTCATTCTCCTTCTGGAGAGTCTCCATTGTGGACGTCAGGCGGGCCACGTCCGCCCGCAGCTTCGCCACCTCGTCCGCATTAGGCCCGGCCCCAGCAAAGTTGGCCTCCGCAGCCGCCATGATGGAGGCGGAGGCCGCGGGAATGGCCTTGACTTTCGAGGAGGACTTTTGCTTGTTGGCCACGACCTTGATCGCGGCCTCCACCTCCTTTACGAATCTGGCCTTACGCTCCACCTCGGAGCCGCCAGTCGCATCTGTTTCTTCGCCTGATTCCCGAGCCGTATCGTCCGGGTGGCGCCCCTCCTCGGCAAGCTTTGCCGCTCGTTCGGCCCTCTGATTGGCAGAGAGCTCCCTCCCCTTGCCTCTCAGCCCGCCCCGATCCAAACTTAACTTGGAACGAACTTTCTTCTTTATTAATCAAAGACGTAGTGGTTTTGATTATGATCATAAACTTTTAGAAGCGATTAGGAATCGAACTCAAGGTCGTGATGAACCTATCGTCATCTATATTTCCATCATGTCTGGAATGTTCTCTCGTCTTTCGAAGAAACTTTCTGAAACAGAACAATTGGAGATTATTTTGAGGAATATTCGCCCATGTTATTCAGTCTTCGTAGCTCTAAAAGACATTGACTCTATCGACTCTCTTCTGGCTACTTGCCAAAACTATGAAAAGTTCCTAGACAGAGACAAACAATTTAAAGAACCAAATGTACAACAAAGTCCTCTTATTTCTGAATTCAACTACAAACATTCCACTTCAAGTTCAGTTGACTCTCCAAATTCTTCTAATAACTCACGACCTTCTCCTCCCTTCATGAATAAATTCACTTCATCCTACAAATACCCTTCTAGACAAGTTAATAGTCTCTCTCAAACTAAAGCTCCTCAAGAAAGCTCTTTTTGTGTTCGCTGTCGTAAACAAGGTCATTCTTTGAACACTTGTACTCAACCACGATTCGTGATTTGTTTCAAATGTGGTCTTAAGGGTTTTAAAACTGCAGATGGCCCTACTTATTCTCCCAAACCTAATACTAGTTCAAAAAACTAACTGCTGACTTGAAAAGTAACTTAAACTTTGATAATGACGATTGGACTAATTGGATTAAAACAATTCAAAACTTCTTTTCTTGTTACAAAATCTCTTTTACACTCTACTCCAAAGAACAAGATCTTAATCGTCCATTCGTTAATGTCAAAATTTATGACTTAACTTTATATGGTTTACTAGATTCTGGCAGCTCAGTAACTATTCTGGGTAATAATTCTCATTTGGAAATTCTTAAACTGGGCTGCAAACTTCTCAAGTCAGATCTTATTATTGTCTCTACTGCTAATAATCAAAAAGTTAATTCCTTGGGTTATTTTCACTTACCTGTTTATTTAAATAATCAAACTCATCTGATTAAAGCTTATGTTTTCCCTGAAATATTCCTTCGGCTTCGGCGTATTGACTTTTGGAGAAAATTTAATCTTTTACCTAGTGTTTTATCTTCTCTTAACTTTACAGAATCTAAATGCTCTGCTACCGAAACTAAAGATATTAAAGTTTTACCTTATGAGCATTTAACTCCTAATCAAAAGAACATCGCTAATGATATCATCCAACGCTTCAAGACAATTTATTTTGAAGAAAAAGGTATCCTGGGAAGCACACACTTAATCACCCACAAGATTGATACTGGTGATTCTCTTCCAATCAAACAAAGATGTTACAGACTGTCTCCTGAAAAACAAAAGGATAAATTAATGAAGTTATCTTGTCAACTTGCTTTGGTAACTGCTCCTGTCCTTGCTTGCCCTAACTTCGAACTACCCTTCTCTGTACATTGTGATGCATCAAATTATGGCACAGGAGCAATGCTTACTCAACATTAAGATGACAAAGAAGTCGTGATTGCTTACATGAGTAAAGCACTAAACAAAAATCAACAGAACTACTCAACTACTGAAAGAGAAACATTGGCTGTAATAACTGCGTTAGAACATTGGCGATGTTACCTAGACAATGGTAAAGAATTTAAAATATATACTGACCATGCTGCACTTAAATGGTTTCAAAACTTATCGAATCCATCAGGAAGACTTGCTCGCTGGACTTTACGCTTATCATGTTTTAACTTTGTCCTGAAACATAAAAAAGGAAAGGATAACGTTGTTCCAGATTTATTATCAAGACATAAGAATCAAGAATGTCCTGATACACGAGAAATTTCACCTCAAGGCGTACATCCTATTACGATTGAAGAACCACCTGATCGTAAACTTGAGCACTACAACAAGATTTTTCTCGGGTGCTCCAACAACCCAGACGCATATCCCAACTACACTATCAGGGATAACAAACTTTACCGCTGCATCCATTCTCCCGATCGTCTAAACGATGACTTTATTTGGAAAGGAGTTCCACTACCTCAAGATAGACATGCACTTATTGAAGTTAACCATGGTTCCCCTTCAGAACTCCATTTCGGTATCTTCAAGATATTCAAGAAAATATCTTTAAAATACTATTGGCCTTGTATGTTTAAGGACATTGCCAATTTGATCTCGACTTGTGAAACCTGCTTAACCTACAAACACCCTAATCATTCTCCCTATGGTCTTATGGGTAAACCTAAACTTTGCTCCAGACCTTTTCAAACTATATCCTTAGATCTTATGGGTCCATTGCCTATGACTCGAAGACGAAATCAGTATATTCTAGTAATTAACTGCAATTTTACTAAATATACTATGATTTTTCCCCTTAAACGTGCTACTTCAGCTAATATTATTAATGTTTTGGAAAATTCAGTTTTTCTTGTTCATGGCATTCCCCAAACTATTATAAAGGACAACGCTGTTCAATTTCAGTCGCGAGAATTCCACTCATTCTTAAATTCTTATAACGTTCCTTTTATTTTTCACACAGCTTTATATTTTCCTCAGGTTACTCCTACGGAAAAGTTTAATAGTACAATTATTACAGCTCTAGCATCTCTAGTAGGAGACGATCATAGATCCTGGGACAACCATCTTACTAAGATTCAGAACGCAATGAACAGCGCTACAAATGTATCTACTGGCTTTACTCCAAACTTTTTAGTCTTTGATAGGGAAACAATACCTTGTGGTTCCTTCTATACTCCAACTCAGAACCTCGAGGAATTGATATTTATGCCTCGTGATATTTACGCGTCTAATGCTGGTCTCCTCTCATCTATCTTTCACAAAGTTCAAACTAAACTTCACATAGCTCACGCTAAAAATAGCACTCGCTATGATCTTCGTCGGTCTTTTAAAGAATTTAATGTGGGAGATACTGTTTGGCGTAAAAACCATGTTTTAAGCAATGCCGGCGCATACTTTAATGCTAAACTTGCCTCTAAGTTCATCAAGTGCAAAGTGATAGCTAAACTGTCACCACTAGTCTATGTGCTTGAAGACCCTAATGGAGTTAGATGCAAGTGGCACATCAAAGATGTAAAATCATAAATTTTCTTAACTTTTATTAACTGTTAATTTGTATATATGTATAAATATCACCATCATTTTCACCTTATTATTTTTATTTCTTTAAATTTGTTTGTTTGTTTGGTGATCTAGTGTTCTTCAACACATCTTGCTTTAGGACCTCGAATTTTCGTTGGTTAATCTTCACTTTTTATTATTATTTCAGACACATCTCGTTAGTGATGTTGCTAATCTATGGCTTTGAGCCCTACCGCTCTGGCCGTTCTTAATCTTTACTTAAGTCATAACGACTAAAGCTTACTTAAGATTATTTTTTTTATCTTTATCTTCACTTGGGAGCGGCTGACTATTCCCTTAATAAATTTTTTTTCCACGCAGGAGCGGATGACAACTCCTTAAATAAGCCTGAATGTCCTTTCGAAAACACACTTTTAGAGTGGTAGTCATTGAATGTGAACTCCACCCTTACCTGAATGCAGATCATGAATGTAAGAGATAGTATATCTGATTTTGCCTGGTGATGTCTGTTTCTGCAAAGCTGTGTTTTTATGGTTTATTTTAGAATGTACATACCAAAATTTTTGCTGTGTCAAAAATTTTCCAGGGTCGGGGGGAAAATGTAGTGTTATGCTACTTACATATCATTTTACACTATTTTAAATTCATTTTTCCATTCTGTTTTGATTTTCTGCATTCACCTCAAAACTGGATATTTTGTATCACCTTTATTTCCATAGGATCCTGTAACGTTTTTAAACCATAAGAACCCAATAACAAATCATTTTCACTTCGTATTTTCACGCCATCAGCACTTTTTAAATCGGTGTCGATGGAGTCTACCTTTTTCGATCCTTTATTTAGTTCTCCGTAACTCTGCAATTTCGGGCTTCGTGCGCGCTGTTGCGCTACCTTTTTTCCTATATCAATAATATCTCATTTTTCACTTATATCTTGCCGTTTTTCTATTACGAGCCTAAAACCAAAATTTGATATGTTTTGACATCGTTGTTTATCTGGTTGTCATGGCAATTTTTATTCAAATTCGTTACCGGTCTGTTGTTTTACTTTAATATTTCCACATAAATACTCTTTTCTTCTTGGCCATTTACAAAAAATTTGCTTTTAATTTAAATAATTTTCCGTTCTCTCTAAAAAGGTATAAAAGCCGAACAATCGGCCAATAAAGACAGTCTCGCTTCAGCTTTCTAACACGAAGCATCTCCTAAAGGCCTTATCCCGGGGCCGCACTGCCCCGGGATCTTGCAAGCCTCTGCCTCTGCCTCTGCCTTGCCTGAAGTCGCCGGATCCTGCAAGTCTCTGCCTCTGCCTTCGCCTGAAGTCACCGGATCCTGCAAGTCTCTGCCTCTGCCTTCGCCTGAAGTCACCGGAATCCTGCAAGCCTCTGCGTCTGCCTTCCCCTGAAGACGCCGGGTTCCTGTAAGCCTCTGCCTTCACCTGAAGTCGCCGGGATCCTGCAAGCCTCTGCCTTTACCTGAAGTCGTCGCCTAGCCACGCCCACGCCTTCACCTACGCTGTGCGTGCTCGTTCCAGGCGCTGAGAGCGCCTACTCAAAGGCGCTGCGTGTGCCTACTCCAGGCGTTGCATGTACCTAAACCAGGCGCTGCGCGCCTACCACAGGCACAGCCTGTGTATAATCTGTGAGCAACGAATACCACCACCAAGCGCGGTGTGCCACTTGGATCTTCGGGCTCCGCTTCAATACTCATCATCTTTATTATCCTTTTTTTAGAAATAATTGTATTTCACGTCACCCATCTTCATCTTCATACTTCATTTTTTTATATAAAATTGTAAATATCTTTTTTAAATTTTAAATAAATTATTTGTTTTTGTTCTATTTTTGTTGTTTTGTTGTTATTAGGTTAGGTTCTTTTGTTCTTAATTGTCGCTTCACGACAGGTTCTACTGCGGATATCCTCATTTCGAAGTTTATTAGTTATTACGCAGAGAAACTCTGAGCATAGCCCTTTCCATAGCTCGCTGAGCGACCTATGGAAAGCGAGTTGGAATCAAGTATCTCTTAAATATTAAGGACTACAAGTTTGTTTGAAACACAGGTTTAAGTTTCTGAGGCCTTGGAATTGGAGGGTGCAGCTTTGTGAATATAATATATAGTTCAGTAAAAAGTTAAGCTTCCGTGTGTACAGTGTTTTACATAAGTCGATTTTAAAATGCGGTCCGATCCGCATGTACATCGTTTATCTAACTTAAATAGTTATTGGAATTCCATTACAAATAATGGTCAGGGTTTGTAGAACCCTTAGAGTTAAGCACCGCAACCCGGCCATGATCGCTGGAAAATTACTTTCATTTTGCCAGTGGCCGTTATCTACGATAGAATTTTTGTTTGGGATAAGTTATGGGTAGAGAGTTGGAAGAATGTTATCTTATAATGGTTAATGGCCACAAGTGAAGGCCACAGAATGAAAATGAAATGGCGTGGATCAAATTCCACAAAGAGTAAGAAATTTTATTGTTTAACTTCCAAGAAAAGTAATAATACAAATTTTCAATTTCAATCTTAGAATATTTTTTCTCGCTGTTGTTAAGAAATACGAGTTAAAATGAGCTTAATTTAACGTTAAATCTATTTAAATACAAGTGTTTGTCTCACATATATAAGAATTATTTGCATTATCATCGAAGTTACCTAAGTATGCTAAATTTTTTATCTCAATCGTGTGTCAGCAAATGCTTCAAAAATTTATTAGAAAGTTTGACCCGGAAAGGTGTACAAAGAGAGAAAATTAATAAAAAGCATAAAAAAATGGTATGTGGTAGATTCATGCTGCAGCTATGCTATGAGTGTAGCAGGAATGGGTTGGCTCAGTCAGAGAACACGGTATCATAGAATATCGTAAAATACCAGCTTGAAGCTGCTGTGTTTCGTATGGTGTAGAAAACCGGAGACCCTTTTTACTGGAATCGAGGCATTCCATCTAGTCCTCCGAAGTGATAACGCATCTAGATTTTGATTCTTAATCGAGGATTAACGTAGATGCCTATAGGCAAAAGCATTTACTTACTACCAGGTGGACTGTATGGTTTTTTCTCAACCATAGTTTATAAAAAAAGAGCTTGATAATGTGAAACGTTTCAATATCACCTCCGTCCTCACCATAGTTTAATCGGTACTAGTGATGGTCGAGAGGTCCGTAATTACTAAAATATTTCAGTTTGAACACTTTGAGGATTGAGGTTCTTTTTCATAGAGTATATTTATTTATTTAACTTCATATACACATATAATGTATACATGTAGGTGGACTTACTGCCCGAGGACTTAATTTACCAGTCTACCTTAAGGTAGGTGTAAAAAGATGTACAGAAATTTAATAGGCACATACGCAAACAAACACACACACACACACACACACACACACACACACACTCTCACACACACACACACACACACACACACACACACACACACACACACATATATATATATATATAACCTAAGACATATACATAATGTTCATATATAATATATTAAACACAATAAACAATGAACGCTACGTTGATTGTGTCATTTTATTGAAGAGAAGTATAGTTCAATTTCATTGGATTACATTTAATTTTTAGTCAGGTATACTGCGTTGTGAGACCTGAGGACTAAGATGGAATGCCTGTAATCCAGTAAAAAGGTCCTGCTATTTTACGTTCGTTCATGCTACAACCATAATATAGCTGCAGCGTTGCTCTACCACGTAAATCGGAAATCTCGGTAAATCGGAAAATCTGCTTTAAAGCCATATATAATTTTATTATGCCTTAATTTTAGAACTATTTACAGTTATTTTTTGGCAACATTTAAAAACTGTTTGGAGACAGTTTTAACAGTGGTAGAGCTAAGCGATAGCTTTTGCTGTCGCACGGATGGGCCAGCTCGAACCGGGGTGGTACCACGACCTCACAGAATACCAGCGTGAAATAGAGGTTTACCTCTGCGTTGCGCTTGGTGAGTGCAGGTGGCCGGAGGCCCAAGCCCCCCCCCCCCCCCCATCAACATGGTAGTGGAATTAAATAAAAGACTACCCCAGGAGGGTACCAGCACCCTTGGAGAATCCCTCGCTGAGCACCCACGACCACACTACTTCACTCCTGAGCGTGGGTGCTCAGGCTGCCCCGCGTAGCCTGGGGGGGGGGGGGCAAAATTCCGCTCGCGACTAATGCTGCTCGGGGCAAGCGAAACAATACAACCAAGGCGACCCCTGTCACGCTATCCGATGGCGAAGCCGGCCTTGCTCTTTTTAACCGAGACTCAGGTGTCCTCTCCGGCCAATACTTAATATCTCTCCTACTCGGGGTACAAATTGGAACACTCCTTTGTGCCCCGGACTGGAGTTTGCGTATACGTCAGAGAGGACATCTGTTTTCAACGCTTCGGCAGTCTTGAAGGTACAGACCTGTCCATCCTATGGCTGCGCGTAGACAGCGACGACCATCCCCGCGTCTACGGGTGCCTCTATAGGTCCCATAGCGGTAATGCCGACACAGACCGACTCATCGACCACGTCCAAATGGCTGCAGACTCCGTGCTACAACAGGTCCCATCCGCAGAGATCGTGATACTCGGTGATTTTAACGCCCACCACGCTGAATGGCTTGGTTCTCGTTTAACCGATCATGCGGGTAGATCTGTCTATGACTTTGCTTTGGCATATGGTCTAACACAACTGGTTACTTCGCCTACGCGGATCCCAGATGTGGAGGACCATGTACCTTCCCTGTTGGACCTTCTGCTGACCTCTCATCCGGACGGATATCAGGTCTCCGGTCGATGCCCCTCTGGGCTCTTCGGACCATTGTCTGATCCGGAGTACGGTGCCACTCACGCTCCAATCGCAGTTGCGATCTGCAGCTTGCCACCGTGTTTGGCACTATAGGTCAGCTGATTGGGACGGGATGCGGTCTTTTTTTGCATCCTACGCTTGGGGGCGGGTTTGCTTCTCGCCGGAAGATCCCAGCGTTGTTGCCGATTCTGTTGCTGATGTGGT